AGCGAGAAGAAGGTTCCTATAATGCCTATTTTGTCGCACTGGATATCAAAAACATATCTCGAAGTTTCGACGATGTGATGTGACCTGAATCTAAAGCTAGGTTTATTCGAACCTCTACGAGCGGACGACACGAACCCTAACCAAACGAAATATTTACATTGCACTGCGCGACACTGTATTAAAACGTAATTAGTTGAAAAGCTTTCGCTTACAATTACTTATTTTAAGGAAAACCAAATTGGTCAAATGATAGCCGAATGATCATATGCCACAATGGCACAAGAACAGCTTGGCAGTGGTTCTATGCTATTGTGAACCTACCCAGGTAGAAAAATTACTCCAGTCTAACTTCGGTAATTATTCGGATGACAACGGTTCATCAATGTAAGCGATATCGGTTCATCAATGGCATCCAACGGAAGGCCGATATAAGTTAGATACCGTCACGACGATATCGCATCAATGCCATCATTTGTTTTTCGATTAAGACCCACCAATGCCCCTAAATCGGTAGAAATGTTTTGCCTACTTCATCAATATTAATTTATTTATTAACTCGAACGAAAGAGCGCTCAATACTCTTTGGAAAAGTCACGGAAAATAATATGAATTTTGTGTCAAAATGGTTTAAAACATCTATGAAGAATTTTTAAGCATTTTTTATTGTGATTTTCTTTTTCTATAACATTATATCGTATTTGGAGTTTCTGACGTTGCATATCGACAATGTTTAAAACATTAAAACCAATAACATAACTAATATTAAGTAGCAATTTTTAGCATTTCAAAATAGATTTTGCTTTTAAAAAAATTATTTAAAAAATTTTTTTCTTTCTATGAAAATTTATTAGCGTGTATTTTGCTATCATAAAAATTAATAACGACTTTTCACGTTTTATTTTGTTTAATGTCTAGAAATTAAAATTTTTATAGGAATTTGCGATTAGGAGACTTTGGGCTACTCCGACGTCGTGAATTGGAGACTCTTTTACTTCGACTATCTGGCAGCTCTGCTCGAAACTCATTTTATTCGCAGGAGAAGCATGGGTAAGGTTTGTTTTCGAATTCGTGAATGTAATAATCCAAAGTCATCTTTGTTCTTCTAAAACATTTTAATCAAAATTAAGTTAAATTTTATTTTGGTCATTGTCATATGTATTTCCAGATGTATAGTAAATTATTTAAATGTTTTCTTAGCAGTTTTATTTTGTAACGTGGCGTGGTATGCGTTCATAAAGTTAACGTGTAGAAAAGTAACATTTCAAGTACAAAAGCAAAAAAAAAAGTACCAAAATAATTTATAGTATTCAACTATTAAAATAATTAAACTATATTGAATAATTAATAATTGATTTTTACTGACGTTTATTAAATCGAGATTTTTTCTTTGATTATTATTACTATAAATTTTTACCTTTAGTTATTCTTACAGGATGATAATACAACCTTACAATTAAATAAATCAATGGAAACCTGTTCGTGTGACCCTTTACAAGATACCTCAGATCGTCAATTTTTCCTAATGAAAAACTGACCTTTGGAAGTGAGGGTATCTTGTACTACTGCTTACTCCATGTTTCTAACAAGTCAATATTCTTTACTATTTCCTGCCTTGACTGATGCTCCACATGTGATTGTGGTTTTGGCGTGGTGGTTGCTTTTATCTCTGGTCGCTGTGAGTGGAAGAAACGAACGAGACGAGATCGTAACAAAACTAAACTTTTATTGTTCTTCTCGCGTACTAGGTACAGCACATGTCTCGACGACGCGGCTAACAAAGGACAACTGGTTTTTCGACCGTCTTTGTGTAGTGAGTTCGAATTTATTCCAGGAAGTGGTGACTCATATGCCCGGGGGTAATTGCTTGTCTTTTACAACCGTTAAGGATACAGATGTGAAAGGCGGCGTTCGCCACAGAGTATCCCCCCAGTGAGGGACGAGCGATAGAATTGATGTCGGACGAGTCGCTTAACGTTACATTATGGTGACTAGTCTTTTAGGAAAATGGACGTGACGGCCTGACCTAGTCGTGACGGTTTGATCTTCTTTAGAGGTAGTTTCTAGTTTTTTGTTGTTCGCTGTTGCTGATGACAGTGGTTTCTGCGATAGACTTGACTGGATGGGTTTGATAATGGATTCCTGGGGTGATTCGTCCTGTAAGATATACGCTGGTTTTACTCTGTCAATGGAGACGGTTGATTTGCGACCTTGGATGTCAATTACTAGTGTTTTGTCGTGTTTTTCTAGCACTTTGTATGGGCCCGAGTAAGGCTGGCGGAGAGGAGGTCGGTTTGCGTCGAATCTTAGGAAAACATGTGTACATTCCTTTAGCCCTGGATGAATGAAAATTTTCTGTGTGGAATGATCGGAAGTTGCTAACGGTTTCAGATTGGCCATGTGGGTTTTTAGTTGACTGACAAATGACTCGCAAGGAACTCGTGGAGTGTCAGGGCTAATGATGTCAGCTGGTAATTTTAACGGGGTACCATATAATAGTTCGGCTGCTGTTGTGCCTATATCGGCTTTAATTGCTGAACGAATTCCCAGGAGGACTACCGGAAGGGCGTCGGTCCATTTGGAGGATTCGTGTGCCATTAGCGATGCCTTCAGGTGTCTATGTAATCGTTCTATTAAACCGTTTGATCGGGGATGGTATGCTGCTGAATGGATGCGATTGGTGCCGAGAAGTCTGGTCAGTTCTCGGAAGAGGTTCGATTCGAACTGACGTCCTTGATCAGTTGTGATGGTAGTAGGACATCCGAATCTTGCGATCCAACCTGAGAAAAAGGCTCGGCATACCGTCTCAGCAGATATGTCGGCAATTGGGATGACTTCTGGCCATCTGGTAAAACGGTCGATCACTGTAAGGCAGTAGTGTTTCCCGTCAGCTGGCGGAAGTGGTCCTATCAGGTCCATGTGAAGATGGGAAAATCTTGCTTCCGGAAGTGTAAACTTCCCTATTGGTGTCCAGGCGTGGCGGTGGATTTTCGATTTCTGGCAGGGGATGCAATGTCGTGCCCACTGACGGATGTCCTTCCGCATGCCCGGCCAAACATAACGACTTGAAATTAGCTTAGTGGTTGCTGTTGCTCCTGGATGAGAAAGTCCATGTAGGTGATCGAATATGATTCGTCGGAAATTATGCGGCACGAAGGGGCGAGATATTCCGGATGATGTGTCACAGTATAGGTCGATTTCGTTAGGTGGAAGGGATTTCAGCTCTAATTTGAGCGACATAGGATCCTTTAACAATTGATGAAGTTCCGAATCTGTAGCTTGCGATGTGGCTAGCTCTCGGAAGTCTAGAGGGGAAGCAGAGGTGATAGAATCTATCTCGATGCGGGAGAGAGCGTCTGCTATCGTGTTGGCTGTGCCCGGAATATGACGTATGTCCGTAGAGAATTGGGATATAAAATCGAGATGCCGCATTTGTCGAGGTGAACATTTATCTGGTTTTTGTTTGAAGGCGTATATAAGCGGTTTTTGATCCGTGTAGATCGTGAATTCACGGCCTTCTAACATGTGGCGAAATCGTTTTATTGATGTATATATTGCCAATAGTTCTCTATCATAAGCTGACCAGTTGCGTTGGTTTGGTGCCAGTTTTGCTGAGATAAAAGCTATGGGTTCCCATTTCCTGTTGTATTGCATCAGTGCTCCTCCAACCGCTGCATCTGACGCGTCTACCCATATGCATAGTTTAGCCCCGGGTATTGGATGATGGAGAAGTGTGGCTTTGGCCAGTGCTTCCTTAGCTGATATAAAGGATTGTTCTGCTGCTTCTGACCATTGCAGAGATCGTGATTCTGCTTTCCGAGTGAGTGATGTACGTTTCTCGTTCTTTTTCCCTTCTAGTAACTGCACTAGCGGGGCGAGGATGTGTGCCGCTCGAGGGATGCATCTCCTGTAGAAATTTATTATACCCAAGAATCGTCTAAGTTGAGTGAGAGACGAAGGTTTGGGAAATTCTCGGATGGCTCTGACTCTATCAGGGAGTGGTTCCAGACCCTTTTCCGAGACCTTGAATCCGAGAAATTCGATTGATCGTACGCCGAAGGCACATTTTGACGGATTTATGGTCAAACCATATTCCTGGAGACGTTGGAATAAGGCGCGAAGATGCGAGATGTGCTCTTCCTGGGAGCGTGATGCTATTAGTTTGTCATCGACGAAAGCATATGCGAAGGAGAGTCCTCTGGTTACTTCGTCGATGAAACGTTGAAATGTTGCGGATGCGTAGCACAATCCGAATTGCATCCTGGTGCTCTCGAAAAGACCAAACTGTGTCATTATAGCTGTTTTGTGCACGTGCGGTGGGTAGATGGGTATCTGATGATAGGCCTTGATTAAGTCTATGTGAGAGAAGATTTGTGTTCCGTGCAGTTCCGATGTGAAATCTGCGATGTTTGGAACTCCGTATCTGTCCTTTATGGTTTGTGCGTTTAAAGCACGATAATCTCCCACGGGTCGCCAATCCGAACTGTTTTTCTTGGTGACCATGTGGAGTGGTGATGCGTAATTGCTTTTTTATGTTCACATATGGCCGAGAGCTATCATCTTATCGAATTCGGCCTTAGCGATTTTAAGTCCATCGGGTGCTAGGCGACGTGGTTTCGCCGTTACGGGTGGACCAATCGTTTCTATATGATGTACAACGTTGTGTTTTACGGGTTGGTTTGGACGTGGAGGTCTGGTGATCTCAGGAAATTCTTCCAATATCTTATGATATATGGAGTCGTTGGTCGTTATCTTAATAGAGTGGATGAAGGTTTCTAATAATTTGCCTGGAGAGTTCACCTTGGTCTGGACGTCTGTGAGACACTTGCGTCTAAGATTTGGTACCAGGTGGAAATGATACAAGAAATCTGCGCCTATTATTGCCGTTGACACGTTGCCAATTAGGAATTTCCAGCGAAAAATTTTCTTTAACCCAAAATCGAGTGTCAATGTTTGTTGGTCGTAGACATGAATTGCAGTTGTGTTTGCTGCCATCAAGGTCATTTGAGACGAGGAGGCTGGAAATATTGATACGTCGGAACCTGTGTCGACGAGAAAGTTTATGTTCGTTCTCTTGTCTAGGATGAACAGGCGACGAGATTGTTCCGGCAAAGTGCATGTCGCCTCTACGCTTCGCCGTTCTCGTTTGTTGGAGAACTACACAGAGGAGTACATTTTTGTGCCTTTGCGCCAAAACGGTTGTGGTACCAGCAGTAGTTGTTGATACTGCGGCGAGTTGAATTGTTGCGATGTCCTGAACTGCTGCGGGAGCGTCGAGAAAAATGGTCACTGCGATCCCGACGTGCCTGCGTTAGTTGATCGATTCGCTTGTTAAGTTTATCTATTTCGATTAGTATTTTGTTGGTTACGGTATCGGGTTCCTCGGGTTGCAACACTGAAGCTATCGTTGCGGGGGTTACTTCCACCACGCGGTCCGCTACCTCCGCTGCTTTGTCTACGTCGAGTGGGGTAATGGCGGCTAGGATGGATTGGACGGAAGTCGGAAGGTGTTGTATGAATAATTCTAGTATAACTGCGTCCGGGATTTGAAAATTTTCCGCCCGACGCTTTAGAACACGTAGTAGTTCGGAGGGTTTGCGATCTCCTAGCTGTTCTCCGGCCAATAGTTTTCGTAGCTCCTGTTGAGACGATTCGCCGGATCGTTTAATAAGTTCCACCTTTATGTGACCGTACGGGTCTGTACGGTCCGGAGAAATAATAATGTCTCTAACCGTTGATGCGACTTCCGGTGGTAAATGGGCCACTACGTAGTTGAACTTTGTGGCACTTTCCGTGATCGGCTTTGGCGATCCCAGCGCAAATGTGCTTTCGCACATGTGGAACCATAAGGCTGGGTCGGAAAAGTTGTATGGAGGGATTTTTACAGCTCCAATCTCGGCCATGATCTGACGACTGAGGTCTTGAGAAAAGGTAGTAAACGACGTACCTGATGAAGGTTCCAATGGTAGTTCTTTGTCGAAATATGTTCTAAGTCCGGCTCACCAATGTGGTTTTGGCGTGGTGGTTGCTTTTATCTCTGGTCGCTGTGAGTGGAAGAAACGAATGAGACGAGATCGTAACAAAACTAAACTTTTATTGTTCTTCTCGCGTACTAGGTACAACACATGTCTCGACGACGCAGCTAACAAAGGACAACTGGTTTTCGACCGTCTTTGTGTAGTGAGTTCGAATTTATTCCAGGAAGTGGTGACTCATATGCCCGGGGGTAATTGCTTGTCTGTACAACCGTTAAGGATACAGATGTGAAAGGCGGCGTTCGCCACATGATCATGTGCTTCAGTGTGAGTGATGTGAGCCAGCCTGTTTGGGCGGCAAAGCTCCCACATCTAAAACTACATAAAATCAAATACTTCGAGAACAGTCAAGTGGACTACTCAAAGCTTGCATAGTCGTGCGGGCTAAATAGTTAAACATGATAGTCTTAGCAGAACAACATGACTTCTGATTATGTATGTCCTAGAAATAAGCTGATTTTGGAAGACTATATGTCATGAAGGAAACATACCTCTAAATGTATGTCACGTATAGAGGTATATTTCCTTTCACTTTTTTGCTCCTGTGGATATTGTCTACAGCTCTGTTAAGATCCCAACTATCTGATTCAGAAATGTAATTGTGCCATTATTTATATACTTATCAAGTACTTAAAAGGTGTTAATATCTGAAATAGGCAGCTTAGGGGGCACAGCAGTTTGAGAGGTTTTTCCCCATAAAATTAATTGATTCTAGACTTATTTGACTTGATCATTTTCAAACACGTATAATTTTTTGGGAATAATCCATATAAAATATGCTATAAACAAAAAATTGAAGAAATACCTAGAGTGCACCATTCAAAGACACCATTGTTTAAGCTCATTTTCATCGCAGAGTGGCACGTTGGAAGGTGGACATGTACAAGACGTGTCACATGACATTTCTTGGGGCCATTTGGTCACATGACATAATCTATGATGTCATGTGATAACATACTCTTCTTGCAGAAAAATTTGCTGAACTTTGGAAGCATCATTAATAGAAATATTAAAACATCATTCCATTTAAATATGGATTAAAATCAACATATGTATGATATTTCCATAAATAACTAATAATTCTTTTCTGCTTTTAAATTGCCTAATCTCTTTCATGTCTTAAGCAAAATTTAGTTTTATTTATTTACATGAAGACCAGGGATGGCCAACAGTTTTTGCCCCTGGGCCGAATTGGAAACAGAACTTTTCCATGGGCTGAACCAGGGCTGCCCTAGGAAGATTTTGAGGTGGTGCAAGATCTCATTGTGGTGTCACCCTGTAGAGACTAAATTGTACATAGAGATTACAGATAAATTTTTCACATTATCATGCTTTAGCAACACTATGCTGTACTTAAAAGATTTGTAATGGAAATGGAGGGTTAACTCTACATGCACAGTGAGTTAGTGATTTTTTTTCTCTACGCATCAGAATTTTTCATAGAGCTATTCAGACTTCAATACCTAATATTGAAAGATTGAGTGCGGGCCACATAAATTCATTAGATGGGCCAAATCTGGCCTGCAGGCCGTATGTTGGCCATGCCTGATCAAGAAGACATGATGTATCTGACTATTTATCATCATAAAATATATGATAAAATTATTGTCGTTAGTGAGTGGTTTTACCTGTTATTGTATCATATAGTCATTCATTATATTTTTATTATTATTAAATTATCAGGAAACACGTCAAGAGATGCGAGGCATGGCCAAGACGAGCGAGTAGTCACCTGACCAAATGTCCCCAAAATGTCACATGACATGCTTTGTATGTGTCTGCTTTCCAGTGTGCTGCTCTGCAACGAAAATGAGCTTAAGCAATGGCATCTTCAAACAGTGCACATACTGTAAGTATTCCTACAATTTTATGTTTTGTTTATAGCATATTTTATGTGGAATATTCCCAAAAAATTGTGTTTGGAAATGATCGAGTCAAATTAGTCTAGAATCGATTTAATTTTATGGAAGGAAACCTCTCAAACTGCTGTACCCCCTAAACTGCACAAGTACCCAGAAATATACACTTCTATTCTAATAGTATTTTTTATGTGGTTGATATGTTTTCAAAAAAAAATTCCTTTCAAAAAAAAGTCCATGCAAAAAAGATAACTATTGTAAAATGGAGATTGGTTCCAGATCTTAATCAAATAAAAACATGATGATAAATCATTAATATATTATTTGATATATTGATTTATATTATACAATGTGTTTAAACAAAATATTTCAATGTAGTTAATCACAGAAAGGACAATTGTAACTTAGCAGTAAATTCGTGTCTGCATACATTTACTTTTTATTTCACCTATTCAATTAAACATCAAAATACTGACGCTTTTAACACCAGATAGCATACTAAGATTGGTTTTTTATTGGAAGAAATTGGAATTGTACAAATGTCAAATCTTAAAAATTGGCTGTGTATAGCAGCTTTAAATGCAAATTCTAAATTTAAAAAAAATTAGTTTTTTAGGATATGAAATATGAATATTTTCTTAGAATTAAAATCAAATGGAGATTTAAAAGGGCAAATTTATTGAGACATGTTGGATCAAAATAAACAGTAAAAAACAGGATTGAATTTTTTTCGTCCACATCAAATCGTAGTGTAAAAAACTAGCAATGAGAGTTGCATAACTTTCAAACTTTCACAGCTGTTATGAGTTTATTTTAAAAATCTTATAATTAGAAGTTTCTCTTTAACAAGTTTGTTCTGAACAATTCTACAGTTTTATATTTAATGGCTGTTGTGTTAACATATTTGTTAAAATTTGAAAGTTTTCTTTTACTCGATAATAGAGAGGTTGATGCGCAAGTACAAAAGTTAAACTTGTACGGCAAACAGAAGTACATGGTTTACATGTAAGTCCAAGTAAAAGACCTTGCGGCGCTCATTCACAACATCACGTGACTCGGTGAATGTCGCGCATTGACTCATGGGAAATTTGTTGAAAAAATGGCAGATACATTTAACATTGAGGGTTACCAGCAAAGGTAAACAAACAAATTACTGTTTAAAAGTATTTATAGGATGTTTAATCACTGAATAATTAATTTTAATTAGCATCATGTCTTTTACTGTGTGATAAGACTACCTCATACTTTTGTTGGAGGAAATAGTGGCTTATGTAAATTTGAAAACAGCTTGAAAAATTAATTTTTAGAAAATTTAGAAACACATTATGCTGTTGATGGTAGAAGATGCCATGGAAGAACAAACCTACCTTAAGATAACCTATTATGAAGACAAATATATGTAAATTCTATAGGCACTTNTGAGTGGAAGAAACGAACGAGACGAGATCGTAACAAAAACTAAACTTTTATTGTTCTTCTCGCGTACTAGGTACAGCACATGTCTCGACGACGCGGCTAACAAAGGACAACTGGTTTTCGACCGTCTTTGTGTAGTGAGTTCGAATTTATTCCCGGAAGTGATGACTCATATGCCAGGGGGTAATTACTTATCTTTTACAACCGTTAAGGGTACAGATGTGAAGGGCGGCGTTCGCCACAGGCAGATTAGCAAGAGTCTAGTCTACTTCAATTTTGAAAGAATAAATGTTATACATATTTATGAAAAAAGACATCATGCAATGATTTTATATATTGAGTGAATTTGATGAGATCAATTGAATAAGAGTTCAATTCAACAAAGAAAAAAATTCCTTGAATGATAAATTAAATATATATGGTAATCAATTTATAAAATAATTAATTCCTCAAATTAAATTTGAACTCGTGTTCAAAAGTGTCTCTATAATTTTATAACCAGTTAAGTTTGAAAACAATTTGGTTCCTCAATTAATTCTTTGCTTGTTAGTATTATGAATACACGACAAGGAATAGTTTCCTGCTTAAAACGTTATTAAAACGTTTCTATTTTGAACAACCTCCTTAATATGAGTATGTAGTAAAATCACAATCAGGAGTCAAAATAAGATTAATCGATGAATGTATTCATTCTCCAGGTAATTGTCTCTCTGTTTTTGCTTGCTCTTTACCAATCAGAAATTTGGGGCATTTGTTGATTGACTTACTAAATTCATGAATCCATTGATTACTATGCCAGGAAAAAACTTCCAAATTTTAGTTAAATATCTAGTTTGTGTTGTGCAAAGCTGTTTTTTTTTTCCTTCTTTTTTTAATATATCCTTTTCTCTTTTACAATTTTTCCTTTTCTTTTACAATTGCTTTCTATAAATAGAAACAAATTTATTACAGCACAAAGTTTATTGCAGAAGAATTATTCCATATTCTGCTAAAACTATCAGATCTTATAAACTTTCTTTGTAAGAGAATTCCTTATTATTTCTAAAATGAAAGTGGGTAGTTGAAGTATCATATTTCATAAAAGATTAGAACTGTTTTCAAAATTGAATGGAAACAAACAGGAAAAAAATTACAACACTGAAAGATGTAAATATAGGCATGGATACAATTTCTTCATGCTGACAAGTGATAGAATTTCTGATTTAATTATCAAGGCTATTGGTCATCATGTGATATTGTACCACTCAAATTATTGTGCTATCTGTGCATATCATTAACATGTGGTACAAGAAGATTTAACAAGGTGTAACTTTTATGTAACAGTAATACAATCAATTGTCATGCCAGGACAAGTGCATATGCTCCTTTTGTGCAATTATAGCTGTTTGAAAGGGAGTGTATTGTACACATTTGAGAGGCTGGGTGAGCATATTGGAAGATTGCTGCATGTTGATGTGATGTGTTAGTGGTGTGTTTTGATGTTGGCAACTTGTGGTTAATTGAATATTCCCACACCTGTAATCAAGTTCTAAGTTGCCATATACTACACATGCATATCAAAATCAATGCATTGTAAGAACAGTTGTAGGAGATTTCACAGCATCTTCAGTACATATCAGAGCAAAAGTGGAACCAGGAGTATCAATATGAACCATTGTTAAGAGGTTAAGAGGGTGTGTTAATGACAGAACCCAGATGGGATGAAAACTTTCTTATGTATTGTAAGACAAATACGACGCGATGATAAACAGCAGAGGGGAATGCCGACAGAGAGAGAGAGCTTTGTCGAGATGCTCGCGAACAAGTGTCGGGTAGAAACAATCGAGAATAGGGAGGGTTAATGACAAAAGGGACAACTGTTAAGAACGAACGCATTAGGGGGTAAATGGCCATAAGAACATCTGGTGGACTGTTTAGGTTCAAAGATGTCAGAGGGAAGGGCCATAACGGAGTAAAATACGAGGCATGTTGCTGGTGGAGGGGCCCCAGGGCCCCCTCCACCAGCAACATGCCTCATCGGAAATCCAACATTCTAGTTATAGTTCTTGATATTATGTAAGTTAACCTTATGTCAAAAATAAATGGTTTCATGTAAGACACTTGTCATCTTTGTCTCCTACCACCACCACCACCCACATACGATTATCCCCTAGGTTTTCCTGATGCGCAATTAATGTAGTGCCCCTAAAAGTCGGCAACCTTACATGAATCATTTAGTTGCAGCAGGACTATGGGAATGTGTCTCTGACCAGACTTCCACTTACACTGGCATGAACAACTCCAGTAGTGTTGTGATAGGATCACTTGGAGGATGGAATAATACTCTACAGTAGAGGTCGGCAACCTTTTAGATATTGTGGACCACTAAATTCAGAATTTTAAAATTTCATGGACCACTAACATAATTTTTAAAGATACAAATTTTTATGAGCATTGAGTATGGTTCACATATATATGTTTATTTATATTAATAATTTTAATTGCATTTATTTGACGGTAACACAAACACAAAATAGTAATAAATAATAGTAATATATATTAAAAATTAGTATGACATTTGCTGCTCTTGCTTTAAAATTATTTTACTAATCCTTGGCTCTGCAACACGTAAAGGAGGTTCTATTTCAAGCCAAGCATGATACTTGTTTTTAATAGCTGTTACAGTTGAGAATGTTTTTTCACCCAAGTAGGTCATTGTGAATAGAGTCAAAAGTTTTAAGGCTTTTTCACTCAATATTGGATATTTGCTTTTTACAGAAAGCCAAAAATGATCTTCTTGAAGATAAGTTGAATTGAAGTTTGAGACTATCATCTGACGATAATTCGATTAAACTTTCTTTTTCTTTCACATTTAAATTGCTTTCCTCAATATTTGAAAAAAATGTGTTTACTATCCACATATTTCTATTTCTGGGATCTTCTTCTTTTCGATAATAATGTTCAAAAGACTCTTTGAGTGACTGCAAGTGCTGTTGAACAAGACCTATTATCTGTCAGTTGATGTCTTTTTCTTTTATGTATTCATCCAGATTTGGAAACATTTGCAAATCTTTGCAGGGATAATGCTGCACGAGCTGCACATAAAGAGGCCTATCTCTGTAGTCAAAAACTCTACAAAGAAACAATAAAAGCTGAGAAAACGTGCAGCTGGTGCAAATTTTGTACTAATACATCTAAGAACCCATGGGGATTTATAACAAAAATGTGCAGCAATAAACTGTGAAAAACAAAAATTATAACGGACCTAAGTACTGAAGATTCTAACCCATGTACTCTTATCCAAACATTAACAGCCCAACTGGATGCCTTCTGTCCTGATGACAATCCAGAGGGTGACACAGACTGGCAACATTCTATTCGTGCTGAATTTAGCAATTTAGATGATACAATAGACATCCACAATTCAAGTATGAGGAAATTCAACATGCCTTCTGTTATCTCAAAAAAGGCAAAGTTCCAGGCCCTGACGAAATTACTAATGAAATTGCACTCAATCTGTAGGCTCTAATTCTGCAACACTTATTTAATTTATATAATGCCTATCTACACCATGCAATTTTTCCTCATGCATGGAAACACGCACGGATTGTCCCTCTCCCAAAACCAGGCTCTTCAAGTGATGCGAGATCAATTTCCTTCTACCCGTATTGGGTAAGATACTCAAATGGTTGATGACCAACAGGCTCAACTGGCATGTTGAGCATAATAAA